CACTTTAAACCGTAAGATGGGTTTACTACGAATTTTTGAAAATTTTCGGTCATCTGTCCAAAGTCACCCCACATACGGGGAGATTCTGGACAACGTACGGGGTGCATTTGGACACTATAAAAATATTATAAATTTAGGAATTTTATTGAAAAAATCAGAGCAAAACTTATTCAATACTAAATTGCGACAAATTAAAATTAAAGTAAATCATGTTATGGAATCGAACTCCGTCAGTGGGGGGAAAGAACCAATACCACGTCCTTAAAATCCACCAAGGCTTCATCTTCATGTGTTTCTTTAAATCTGTATGATAGAAACTGCCTTTTAAGGAATTTGACTGTATATCCTTGGTTTAATTTTTGCAATATTCTGCTAACGAAGTGCCGGGACTATGTTTGGACAATAGAGGAAGACTCTAGACAGTGTGTCCAAACTCTCCCTACATGATGTGAAACAAAAAAAATGTTCATAATTTCAAAATATAGCAACGGAATAAAGTAAGGATATAACAAAAGTTCCATGCTTTATACCAGTAGCGTGCAAAGGTGATCGGGGCCCCCCCCCGCAAATTTTGAGCTGGGGCCCCTTTGTCACTTATACCACCCAATGTGGTTCTCTACGGGGCCCCCTTAAGGTCGGGGGCCCCCCCCGCACCGCGGGCCCTGCGGGGCCCGTCCTGCACGCCACTGCTTTATACATACTTTAATATGTAGTAACTTTAAATTATTTATCTACAACGGTCTGGGCAGAAAAGCTTACAAGGGGAAAGAAAAATATTAGATGAAAAAACTCGAAAATAAACTTTTTCACTTTAAGTGACTTACCTCTTCTACAGCTAAACTCAAACTTATTTCACTACCACTATTTGATACCTTACCAACTTGACGATGTGTAATAGTAGAACCAACCTACATATTTCGTCTAAATTTTGCGTGTATCAAACGTATTTTTAAAACTTCTCAGAATTCCTGTGGTAAGTATACTTAAAAAAATTTCCCATACAGTTCTTTCAGTCGAAATCAAGAAGGTATACCTTCTTGATTTCGACTGAAAGAACTGTATGGGAAATTTTTTTTATGTTAATGTAATATTTTTAACAAATATAAAAATTTCATTTTTGTTAAAACATTCGTTTTTTCAAAACGTTTATTTCACGTCAATCACAGCAAACGGAAAATTATAGAGGTGTATAGGATGACGCCACGTTTGAATATCGATTTCTAAATCTCCCTACGGTATAGAGTTGTATTCGTCAGTCGAGCGTTTCAATACTCTCCACAGTATAGAGGTCGTAATTTCACTTTTGAACTAGTATTAATATAAAAATTATTTTATGCTTAAAAAAAACTATATACGACATGATTGTGATTTTTTTCATTTTATTAATTAATTAAGCTGTGTTGAATATTTTTCCTAAAGGAATAATTGCCAATGGGCCATTAATTCATTTGTTTGTAGATGCTACAATAACCTGCACTGGTGTGTACTTTTTCATCAACCAGATTTAAATATTACAAAATTAACATATACCAGTGGAGATAGTGCAGGGTCTACCAACAGACCTAATTACTAAATTATTAAAGTTTAATAGCATATCGATCATTTTTCAACATAACCTCTTAAATTTTTAATACAAATATAGGTACTTTATATAATACATAAATATACTTAACATCATATCCTCTGTGCTTTACATACCTGAGTTGTTACGGTAAATAAAAATCAGACAAAGGAACCAAAGAAAGGAACTATTTTCAACAAAATCATATGGAGAAATGAGAAAATTCATCCATCAAAAGATCAAAACTTCTTGCAATATTACACCCTCTTTTTATACTCTCAGAAATATTGACTAGAACAGTATTAGAGAGACTCCAGTTTCTATAACTTGGTAGAGTAAAGAGAAGTCGAAACCGTTGCGATATTGCATTGCGCTGTTTTTGTATAATTCTCGGGGACATTAACGAAAATCATTGCCAGTAAAATTCGAAAAGCTTGAGTTTCTATGTCTCTGAGGAGAATAGGAATCCGAAGTTGCTGCACCATTGGACTGAACCCTTTTTTAATAATTTCTAGAGACATACATATGACTGCACCATTCGACAGGGTCGAGTTTCTACTCCTCTGTTGAATATAGAAAATCAAAATAATGTATCTTGTAAGACACCATTGAGTTTGACTTTAAATATAGTCGTGCATAGGTATAGAGCCGAAAAATATAAAAACAAAGCACGATTCAATACAGTTATGATAAAACTTTAAGATTTGATATTCAAACGCGGAGTCATCCTATACACTTCTATAATTTTTCGTTTGCTGTGATATTCCGTTACTTTAAAACTCGTTAAATAACAACCAAAATCCGACGTGAATAACACGAGTTGGTTACAGCTCTGTTTGCTGGGTTTTGTGGAGGCCTCGTTGCCCTCCCCTAAATCCGGCCCTGCATATACAGACGCGGATAATTAAAGAATTTTTGGTAACTGAACGAGACAGGCATTTGTAATAAAACAGGTAAAAATTAGATTGAACAAAAAGAGGCAAACGCGAATAAAATCGTTTGAAATTAGATGAACGAAAAGCAATTGTGAATAAAATAGGATGATGTAAACGTTTTTGCTGTAGCCTGATAAAAACGGGACGAAATTGCTTGGGAAGGTATTTTTTTTTTATTTTATTTTTTTTTATTTATATTTTACATAACTTTTTATAGCCAACAAAACAGTTCTTAACTGGTATTTGGAGATAAAACCGGATTACTCCAAGTACCTAGGTATAAACCTAAATACAGCAGATGAAACAGGACAATTGCAGGCATAGAACAATATTCAGGCAAACGCAGATAAAAATAAACGAAATCAGGTAAGGGGCCGTCCATAAATGATGTCACACACTTAGGGGGGAAGGGAGGTCGTCGAAAATGTTGACGTGACGCCAATGGGGAGGGGGGTCCCATAATTTGTAACACTTTGCGACAAGGGGGAGGGGGGGTCAAAAATATTAAAAAAACGTGTGACATCATTTATGGACGGCCCCTAATGCGGATGAAGCCGAGCCAATGTAGTCATTAAATTATTTTCAAGCAAACTCGGGTGAAATAAGACAAAATTATAATTGCACCCCGAAAGCCGACGTGCTGGATGAAACCAGACAGTGCAGGCAAGAAAGGCCATAACCAGGGTTGCCAGACGTCCCGATTTAGGCGGGACTGTCCCGATTTTTATCGATGTGTCCCGATTTGTCCCGCCTTCCAATTTGCACGTCGAAAATCCCGATTTTTAAATATCTTTCAAAATCGCGAACGAAAAAAGGACATAATTTAAATTTTTTACAAAATACAGGAAAATTACGATCTACGTCTAAAAAAACTTAATTAAAGATCAGCATATTTTAAGGCAATTTTATCACTTGTTATTGTGTGCATTGGGTCCAATCGCAATCAAGCATTAATTTTCACTGAGTAATGGGGGCGAAAATGATATTCAAAAGCATATGAAAAGTGTAAAACACAAAAAGAACATTTAAAATTTAGCAAACACAAATGCACTTTAAAAAATGTTTAATCGAACGGGAGATGACGCAAAAAAGGTAATTGCTGAGTGTAGCTTTATTTGTGGCAGAACAAAACTCACAAATGTTTTGGGACCCCATAGCAAACAAAATATTTTAGAAGATCTTTCTGAACACCATCCAATTTCGCTTCAAATAAAGGCAACATAAAAACCTTTCCGTTGATGCTTAAATATTTTGATAAAAACTAAATTATTAAAATTCTACTAATCTGATTCTGAACAGTCCCATGATATTGCTTAGTGTTTAGTAATTTAAATAATTACTTTGAAGTTGCTTCACAATTTAAAATTTCTGTTGATGAAGACATTTTATTTGAGGAGTTTGTCCAACTACCTACTTTTGTTAAAATTTTGAACAACACGGAAGATGTCGATGTAATGTGGACTCATTCTTTAAAAGAGCATCCAACTTCAATTATTTTTTTTATACCGAAACAATTTTTAGTTTGATGAGAACAGTTTGAAAAAAAAATGGGTTAAGCTTAAACACATTAATGTGTTTAAGCTTAACCCATTTTTTTCTAATTAGAAGCTGAATTGATGATAAAAACTAATAATAAAAAGACATGTAAAGAATTTGTTAATTTTTTAATAAGCAATCGAAAAGATATTCATGAAAAAGTTCCATCATGTGAAAAATACATTTAAATATTTAGATTATATATATTATTTATATTCATATTTTTTTATAATTAAAAAATTATATATATATTTTTCGAGGCAATTTTGAAATTTTCGAAACTAAAACATTTTTTTAACAGAGATTTGGGTGTCCCGCTTTTTCATTTGCAAAATCTGGCAACCCTGGTCATAACTGGATGAAAAGTAGCTTGGTTTTACATCCGCTATCACTCTTATTTTTTAGATTTTTTAGATTTAGATTATATATATTATTTATATTTATATTTTTTTATAATTTTATAATTAAAAAATTATATATATATGTTTTGAATTTTTTTTCGAGGCAATTTTGAAATTTTCGAAACTAAAACATTTTTTTAACAGAGATTTGGGTGTCCCGCTTTTTCATTTGCAAAATCTGGCAACCCTGGCCATAACTGGATGAAAAGTAGCTTGGTTTTACATCCGCTATCACTCGTATTTTTCAGTAGGCAAGAACCAAAATAAAAAAAAATTTAAAGTTGCTGACTATTAGCGAAACCACCCTATTTAATTTTTTATCAAAACCGATTTGATGATTATTTATATTATTATATTTATATTATATAGGTATTAATAAAAAAAATTATATCATTTTTTTGCAACAAAATTGCTTATAAGGCTAAAATAAGACCCACAATCAATATAAGTTCGTTTTAAGATCATAAAGAAAGAAAAAGGAGAACGATAGTTGCACGCAACGGACCAGGCAAAGTACAGTGCGGCGCATGCATGCCAACGATTCGCTCTCCCGACTCGGCATCGGTGGAACAGCTGATTGTGACATATGTACTCTTTTGACGTATATTCCAGCAAATATATTTTAGCAACGATTGTGTGGTATTGACAGTGAATTTGTTGGTTTTGCTCTATGGCCAGTACAGCTGCTATGAACCCCCTTCGTTATATAATTAACAGACAGTACAATGATTGTGTTAAAATTAAAAATAAATTGTTTAACGAACGATTGGCCAAGGCAAGAAATTTATATAGAAAAGATCTATATGCACATTATGGGTGTGTGAATGCCATAGAATTTTCGGATGAAGGGGAATTATTGGTTTCAGGTAAGCAAATTGATTTTCTCTAAATCTCTTAAAATTACCTTTTATTTGTAAATTTGCTATTATTGGCTGAACAGCATGCAAACAAGTTTATGCTTATCTCTGCAATGTTTAAGTTCATAAACTTAATCATAAAGTTATGTTTATTGTTAGTATTACTAAATACTAACAATAAACCTAACTTAATGATTAAGTACAGTAGCTATTTAAAATGATTAATTAATTAGTTATCTACCTAAGTATAGGTAGATAAGTATACTTATTAAGGTAGGTAATAATTTATTGTTATTATTATTATTACCTACGTAAATTGCTACCATCTATAGAAGGGTATATGGTTACCCTATTAGGGTATATATACCCTAATAGGGTAACCATATAGATATTTGGGTTTCGTAAACAAATAACATACTTTTACAACAATTAAAATGCTAAGGTTTATGTTAGGTCTAGGGGTACCTACTTTTAAAATTGGAATAATATAAAGCAATTATGTACAATACTAAACTAGGTTAAACCCACAGATCACAAGTGGTCTGTAATCATAGAAATAATACTAATAATAGTATTATTTCTATGTCTGTAATACTCCATACCAAAGACACTTTGACATTTTTTTGCGGAATGCTGCTTTATGACAAGTTGTCAACGAGAGAAATTATAAATAATATATTATTATACGAGAGATAATGCGCATAATCTCGAGTATAATACCATACTTTATCTACTTTATCTACTCCAATTAGTAGATGTTTAACCTTACTTCCTACAAATTATAAATATTATTATAGTCGCCTTCTCCCAATTTAAAACCCGATTGGTTCTAATAGACCTATCTCATAAAACGGACTTTTGGATAGCGCGTGCGTGAAAAGCACGTCGTCTTTTTTTAATTATATAAAAGAGAAAGAGATACCACTCTTCTTCAGGCACGCGCTATCCAAAAGTCTGTTTTATGGGATAGGTCTATTACATTGAATATTGAAATCGACCAATTATTGATTCTTAACAACGTAAATTATGGCTAATGGTCAGTCGAAGTAAGGAGGCTATTAAAGAGCAAGTGGTGTCGCCCTTAAAGCAAACTAGCCTAAAATGTTTGTGGCGCTACAAGAAAAGACAATTAAAAAATACAAGTAATAAGGCGAACAAAACAATTACATCCAAATCCAATCCAAATTTACATGATTAAAAAACATCTTAAAATTTCTGCTAATTGCCTACTAAAGTAAAGCTGGATTTATAGTTGGACGTAGACGTAACGTAGACGCGAGCGTAGACGTAACCTAGACGCACTGCAAAAAGATCAAATATAGAATTTATGAATTTATAAATTGAATACTTTTTTACATCCCGTTTTTTGCGTCTACGTTACTTCTACGTCCAACTATAGGTGCGTTCTTTTCGCCTGAGATCTCAGCTCACTTCAGTTAATGTGATATGAGATGTAGTGATGTGAGTAAGCATTAAAAAGAACGACACTCAATTGAAACGCGCAATCTGACGGCTCATACGTGAATAAGAGGCAACATAACCTATCTCTGATATCATTATGTTTTGTGTCATATCCTTATTGGTTTAAATTTCGTGGTTTTCTTTATTTAAAATTGCGTTAAATTATGGATAATACAAAAATAATAATAAAAGTTTTTTTTGATGAATACAATGAAGGTGATAAAATGACAAAATAAAAATTAACAAAAAACTTCACTTTGACATGTTTTGTTTAATTTTATTGTAAAGTGTTTTTCTAGTTTTGAAAAACAATTTTATACGAATTTTATTTATTATATTAAGTTAAAAGTCAATTTACAAAATTTAATTATTTTGATGTAAATTTAAGTTTTATTGCAAAAAATTAGCTAAATAAGAATAGGGTATGTTATTTAAAAACTTAACAAATCAATCATTTCTTTATCCCCTCCACTTTATTTCCGACTTAATTCAAACTGATTCCCCCGCACAGAATGTGTAGTATCGGTGAGGGGGGAGGAAAAAGAACGCGCTGTGAGCTGAGATTAACTGAGATCTCAGGCGAAAAGAGCGCACCTTATAAATCCAGCTTAAGCCTTCACAGCTATGATCTAATGATCCTGGTACAGATGTCGATAAAAGTTATTATTTTCAAAGCTATAGCTATAGGTAATTATAATCATAATAAATAAATAAAGACAGGAATACTCATAAATACAATACGTCAGGTTTATTATTAAATAAGAAGTTTTAATCAACGCTTTAAGGCCTAATCTAATATTTTTCTTATTTTTTTTACGCGTCATGTATTATTATTTCTAGTTACACGGCAAGTTTAAAATAATTATAATTTGTGGATTTGGCCGATTTGGAAATTGCATTAAAAATTTATTTTAATGATATTATATTATTATTATATTACATACGTTTTCTCCTTTAATTTTTCTTTTGTTGAAAAAATAACGAAATCTAAGACTCTTCCCTGCCTGCCTGCGCTTAGACGGTTACCGCTCACGATCATTCCGTCTTACAATGCGGCAGTCTGTGGTCTGCGGCTAGCCTCCACCGTATACCATATAATTGCTTATTGCAGCCTGCGTCGTGTCCGGTCGGTCGCGGTCGTGAGAATTTTCGGACGCGTAGCCTCCTCTGTGAAAGTAAAGTCCGATTATGCGCGTTTCACTATTTTCATTTAAAATAAAAATATATCGTTGTTATATTTATTAGGATTGAAAGTTTGATTTAGTCGAAATATGATAAGTATAAATATAATAAGTATAAATAAAATAATTTTTAATGGTTAAAATTTTTAAAGAGGCTAAGCCAAAGATAATACACCATTTGCAAATAGCGTTGGTACAGATGTCTGCAATTTACAAATAGATATAGTTCAGGTATTGGAGTTCTAGAGGGCAGTGGTGGGAGAGTTTCCAATCTATGGGGTGTATTATCTTTGTGCTAAGCCTCCCTTGTCTCCAGTGGCGTGCAGTGACATTTAAATCTTTCTAACTAACAAAATTAACTTACAATCACAAACAAAACAGCAATCCCTTGTACTAGGTACTTTCAAAATTTTCAAAACAATAATTAAAAGCGCGGAGGATGAAATCCCAATCTCACACAAGAATAGGCATAGAAATCATAATATTATTTTTTATACTTTAGTATTATTTCTGTGAGAATAGGGCACCGGAAAACTGAAATTATTTTTATTTAATGGCCGTTGTGCTGGCGTTGTCAGACACCAACGGTTGTCTTGTCGGGTTTCAGTTTCTTACAAAATGCATGACATTTAAATAATATAAATATTATTAAATAATAAAGATTTTTAACCAAACCCTGTAATGATGTAGTCGCTTTCTAACCAATTACTAAAGCTTAACAAACAATGGCTATCAGAAATTCTGATTCAGAATATTAATTAAACAGAGCACATTTTGGCAACGGTGAATCCAGTGGAATTCACTTATTGTTTGTCGCCGTCACGTGGCTTCGTCTCGTCTCTTATTTTTATGTATCGTTTCATTTGGCCGTCTTGTTATAAGCACTGCATTTGGCTTGCATACTCTCTTAAAATAAGTTAGTCAAAAATAACTAATTATAAGTCATATTTGACTAATAGTCATAGCAAAAAAGCAGTTACTAATAATTAGTCCAATTCTACTGAATGAAATAGTCAAATTAGTAGATTTAAACTTAAAAAAGTATTGACCCAGCCAGTGCTGGGTTGGGTTGGGTGCTCTACTGTCACTTTTATAAAAAATAGTTTTATTTGTCTATAAATATTGTTAATACTATAGCTAATTTTTTTGTATTGCTCTTCTAGAGTTTAACTTTTTGCATCTTTGTTTGTTTTTAAGGGCCATTTAACCATGGAGTCTATATGCATTTAACTAATTTGTTGTTGGTCGTAAGAATTAAAAACGATTAAAGAACGTAGTTACTTTTTACTCTCAGAAACAGTCAAAGATGGTGACTTATCTAGTCAATCTTTAACTAGAAAGTAAAAAATAACTATAAGTAAGAAACGACTATTTTATTAGTAAACAATGCTGGTACTAATTTAAATAGTAGAATTTTAACTATTTCATTTTAAGAGACTGTTGTTTTTCTATGATATAATTAATTTAATTTAAATTTTCTTTATCCTTTTTAATACAATTATAACTTATATTATCGGAATTAGAATTAAATGGGAAAACATAAAAAATGTCAAAACGTCAATGCATTTGTGCTTTCATTCTATGCACGCCACTGTTAGTCTCCCCTGCTTTAGCGTGAAAATACTTTATAATATATTCAATATAAATACCTTTAGAAATATAAGGATATACTCGTAGGTTTCATTTTTTAAATGTTCGACTTCCTTGACTTCTACGGCGACGATATACATAGAACCACGAAAGCAGCTATTTTCAAAAAATAAGGCGAAATTAGCGTTAACCTCAAATATGGTTGTGACGAAATGACATTGTAATAATTTTTATAATTGCAATTATACTAAATTAATCACGATTTAGTCAAAATATATCTATCTAATAGGTACATAATTAAATAAAATTATTAAAATAATGTTTACAATGCACACTTTTTGAGGACTCCAAGCCTTCCTTGCCTCACCTGAAAAGCCGCCACTGCTTTAGGGTAAAAATACGGTAAGGTATTAAATTTAAATACTAATAATAGGTAATACCTATCCTTAAATTTGTGGCTTGATTTCCTTGACTTCTATGTCGACGATATACATAGAACTAAGGCTGGTAACCGTGACCGGTCAACCGGTTAACCGGTTTTGTAGGACCAAAAACCGTTAAAGAACGTAACCGGTTTAACCGTGACCGGTTTAACCGTAATCGTGACCGGTTTAACAGTTACTGATTTAACCGTAACTGAAACCGGTTTAAGCGCGACTGTAAACATAAACAAACGAGTCATAGTTTTAGCTCTTACTAGGGGTGCGTAAATTTCTTAAAACATCGATATTGACATCAAATGATATATTGAAAACAAAATATCGATGTCATATCGAACTGAAAAAATCAATATTGATAAACATTAATAGTCCGGGAGGCAGTGAAGATTTTCGGTACTTATTTTCCCAGTCGGCAAACACCGATACAATTATTGGGTTTGTTATTCTGAGCAAAATTTATATATATTTAGGGGGGGGTTTTCCGATGGGTTAAGGCGGAAAATGCGTTATAAAGTACAAATATATTGCACTTTTTTTTCCAGTGATAAAAATAATTCCATTAGTGAGAGATATAGTGAACTTAAGAAAAAAAATAGTCTGGCTAATCTGTGAGTATGGGTAATATGTCTGGCAGGTGGACAAATTATCAAAACCATTGCCCTTATTTTCGAAGTCCTAAAAATTTTGTGAGATGATAGTTTATATTATAATTACAGCTGCAAATATAGTCTGGCTAATGTGGAACACTCCGAAAGCCTTGCCAGACTCGTCCAACCGGGAGGCAGTGAAGATTTTCGGTACTTATTTTCCCAGTCGGCAAACACCTATACAATTATTGGGTTTGTTATTCTGAGCAAAATTTATATATATTTAGGGGGGGGTTTTCCGATGGGTTAAGGCGGAAAATGCGTTATAAAGTACAAATATATTGCACTTTTTTTCCAGTGATAAAAATAATTCCATTAGTGAGAGATATAGTGAACTTAAGAAAAAAAATGGTCTGGCTAATCTGTGAGTTTGGGTAATATGTCTGGCAGGTGAAAAAATTATCAAAACCATTGCCCTTATTTTCGCAGTCTGGCGGGGCTTTCGTGATTGTAAATAACAGCCAGACGTGTATTTTCTACGAAATTATAGTATTATTTATCATGTGACAAATTTTCAAATCCGGGAAAATAAGAGCAAAATTTTTGTAATTCTTACGATTTTCAAAATGCCGCCAGAACAATTTGCCAATTTCATAAATCAGCCAGACTTAATTTTGATTATAGTTTATGACAGTACCAAATAATGGGTTAAATTTTAAGCATGGGAAAATAAGGGCTACGTATTTCAAAAACCGGTCAAATTTTTGCTTCCGCAAATTTTCAGCCAGACTGACTTTCCTTCACTTGGGATGTGCCAGACTTATTTCCATTAATAAAATGACTCACTTTAATTAATGTGAAATATTTATGACTGGGAAAATAAGTGGACTTGACTTTTTGGCTCATCTAGTGAACCCATCCGAAAATTTTAGCCAGACACACAAATTGTCGTTTTGTGTCACCATTTGAACAAACTTAATGACATTCACAAACTGGGAAAATAAGAAGATAAAAATCTTCACTGCCTCCCGGACTATAATGTTTTTTAAAACTTAAACATTTAAAAGTTAGTAAAACAATAGTTATTTATGTATCAAGGCAGTAAAGTCGTATTTTTTATCACGAATGTGTAAATTACATTTAATAATAGGTACTAATAATTAATAGTGAATCACTATTAGTGATGATTAAATCAAATGTCATTTGATGATCAAATCAATTGTCATTTGAATGTAGGAAGTGTCTACGTATACTGTTTGTTGCGACGGTTATATTTGCCCGCCGCGGCGATTTTTTAATCTAATTAATAAAAATAACTAATAATTTTTATTAAACAACATTTTATGAAAGGGTCCAATCGACCTCCGCGACGGTGCTTTTTTAAATATTATTTAAATGCTGCTGAGGAGCAGTAGACACATCTTAAAATGGGTTGCATACAATACTCGTATTAAATCGGCAGTAAAGTTCTACTGTACTGCCGATTTCTTTTACTTTATTGCTGATTGTTAACTACTTTGCTGCCGATTTCGGATAAAAGTATTTTTATTAAAAAAATAAAAAAAATATAAACATTCAAAAAGAAATAAGAAAATCTATAGTTTTTTCATGTTTTTCAGTGCAGGCAACATAGTTTCGGCGAAAAGAAACTGCTTGCTACCGGAAAATGCTGATAAATTGATTTTTTTACATCAAAACTCAATAATAAAAAAATATTGAGTTTTGTTATTATTTTTTATCACTTAACTATAATTTATTTTGAAACTTAAATAATGTTTATGTTTTTTAGTTTTTATTAAAGTTGGTGGTATTTTTATTATTCTAATTTCATTTTTATTGATTAAGTATCTATTTTAAAAAATTCAAGCATGAACTGCCTGGTTGTCACGGGTAAAGAAAGGTGAAAGGGTTAGTGAAGTGATCCCTTTTTATTAAAAACAAAGAATTTGCTACGATTAAACCGGTGACAGCTCCAGTTAAACCAGTTACGGATAAACCGCCGACGGGTTTACGGTTACGGTTAAGCCGCCGATCCGGTCTAACCGGTCCGGTTCGATCAGATCGGTTAACCAGATAATCGGACTGGTTAACCGGTTAATAGGACTGGTTAACCGGATATCCGAACCGGTTATAATAATTTAAAAAATCCGGTTAAAACCGAAACCGGTCAAAACTTGTCGAACAGGTTAACCGTTTATTACTTTAGGAATTGACAGCCTTACATAGGACCACGCAAGCAGCTATTTTCAGAATAAAAGGCGAAATTAGAGTTAAACTGACAAATACATTACCTCAAATATGGAGCTGCGTTTCTCATTAAAATGTCAAAGTGGACCTTTTGGGTGTTGAGCATAATACCTTCATATATACGATACGGATAAAGCAAAAATGAGGGTTAAACCTAGTTTTAACCGGACACTAATTAAAATTTGCGTCTCATCTTACCTGTTAATAAAATATTCCTTAAAAAAGGCTTGTAATGTTCAAGCAGTATTACCATTTTTCTAGAAATCTACTTTTTTGGTAGTTTTTCAACATAATTTTAGTAGGCAAAAAATTATTATTAAATTTTTAATACAAGTGTTTACATTTTTAGTTTTGCCACGTAGTAATTTAAATTTAATGCTAATTTTTGTTAACAAATTTTTATAAATTCAAATTCAAATGAGCAGATTCCAGAGATAAACAGCAGATTCCTAAAAATATAACCTGTATATTACAGATAACTTTATTTACCACGGCGTTTCAGACTTTTGCCAACCAGGTTATTTTAAAAATATACACTGCGCAAATATCCGGTTATTCATCACTTGGATCCAAAACTCATAACCGAATAATTTAGGTTATTTCAATAACCGGGTAATAGGTTATTTTTCACTCGAGTGATCCCAACACTAGTGACAACCCGCCGCAGCGCGCCGTGGAGAAAGAATCGTATCAAGTTCGTGAAATTATCGTATCGGATCGTATTCTATTTGAAAAATTATCGTATGCGCGATCGTATCAGCCAAAAACTTAAAACTATCTTTTATTTTAATAAAATCCTCTAATGGTCGTTTTTTTAATCACTACAGGCCCATGATACTAATATATCATGTACGGGCCAAAATTTAAGGTTACATTAAAACGCAATCCGTACTGTCGAATATAGACAAGATTACAGGAAAATTAAAGGGGCGCTTTTGAGCTAAGACCTTTATTGCTATGGTTGGTTGATATTTTGGATAATAAAGAAACTAATTTTTGGCTTAATATTCATATTTTTGTCTGTTATTAAACTGGATTTAAACAGTTTACCGGAGTTCACTGCTTCACGGTCAAGGGAATTAAAAGCAAATAAAATCAAGTTTTTCAGTTTTTTTAATACTTATAAAAAAACAGAACATAAAATAAAACTAAAATTAACGAGGAACCTAGGTAGGACGGACAAAAGTTACAATCTATGGTTCTCGCCAAACATAAGGGGTTGCACGTCATAATGTGGCCACCTGCAAATTACATAATATTTATGTATAATTATATATATATTATATTATAAACGCGCTCAGTATCATTAATGACGTGCAACCTCTGCTGTTTGGCGAGAACCATATTTACACTAACCTCTTTAAACGTTTCTAAAACAAAATAAATAGGTAACTAAATACATTTCTTTGTTTGATTATCAATACCTAAGTATTAAAAAAAAAACAAAACATAAAATAAAAACAAAATCTTATTAACACGGAACATATTAGGAAAGGTACAACGTTACAATTCATTACAATAAATAAAGAACATTATCTGGGCCTTACAAATCTTTTCCTCAACGAACTTTCCCCCCTGAGACGTACAGCTCCTCCAAGACTGTTACGGTACAACTTTGGCATCACAGACAACATACTAATTATTCTTCAAATGTAACATCATCAAGAATTTCTGCTGTAGGAACATCAGCACTACCAGACTACACAGACAACATAATAATTATTCTTCAAATGTAACATCATCAAGAATTTCTGCTGTAGGAACATCAGCACTACCAGCAGATCTAGAATATACACACACTCAAAAATGTTTTGCATAATGGAATATTTTTAAAACTAAATGAGATATTTTTAAATACAGGTACAAAAACTATTGTATTGCATTAAAAACATTGTGAATACATAAAAAAATATTGATAATAATTACAAAAAAAGTAAAAGTTTACGAAATTAAATTTATTCAAACATTTAAAATCTGTACTAATGTGGGTACTAACAATATTAATACGCTGTATTTCCACCTCTAGCCATAACGCAGGGATTAATACGGTGTGTCATGCTTCCGACTAACGTACTGAGGTAATTTTCGTCTATTGCATCCCAATCTTCAACGGCTGCTGCTCTGAGTTCTTGTAACGTTCGTGGCTGTTGTTGCCGGGCCTTCCTCTTAAGCTTATCCCAAGCATGCTCAATAGGATTAAGGTCAGGAGAATTGGAGGGCCAACGCAATCTGGTTACATCTTCAGTTTCCAAGATATCTTGTACTTGTCGCGTTCGATGAGGAGGGGCATTATCGTCCATAAAAACGAATTCCGGACCAACAGCACCTTTCCACAGGCGTACTACAGGTCGAAGAATAGTGTCAATATAAACTTGTCCGTTCATGTTGCCATTGATGGGAATTAAAGGAGTTTTATTATTCGCCCTGATACCGCCCCAAAACATGATGGTGCCACCTTGGTATGGGACTCTTCGGAGAGCTTGCTCAAATCTATCTTGTTGATTTGGGTTCCGCCAAACACTAATCTGGCGACTATCGTACACAAGACCGATTCAGGTCTCGTCTGAAAAAAGCACATTTCTCCATCTGTTCTCATCCCATTCTAAATGTTCGTTGGCCCATTCCAGTCGGTTTCTTTTATGTTCTAACGTGAGTTTTGGGACATACAGCGGTCTCGTGAATAAATTTGCTACATGTAACCTGACATGACCTGACATGACAATATTGTGAGCATGCTGGAAGTCTCTTCTAATGGCTGGGGCAGTCGCAGTGCGGTTTCTCCGGGCAGTTAATGTTATAAAACGGTCTTGAACATCGGTGGTAATTCTGGGCCTTTCACTTTTCGGACGATCATGGACTGAGTTTGTCTCTCGAAATTTTTTTACAATTCGAGAAACATCACTCTGATTAACTCCAACCCGAGCAGCTACGTCAGCCTGTGTGTGGCCTTTCTCAACCAAAGTAACAATTTTAGCCCTATTGAACTCACATATCACTTGTCGATTCATTTTCTTCACCAGAAAATGAGAAATATCAAAACAAATTTTAACAACTATGGGATTACAAACTTTAATAACCACAATATCGAGAAATCAAGTACCCGCAAAAAACATTATGTTTAAATCGACTAACAAAATTGTGCAAAAAAAATCCATATAAGAAAAGTTCATTGGCATTCTAGATAATATGCAAAACATTTTTGAGTGTGTGTATTTGGCTAGTTTTCGTTTCTGAAATCATTTTATCGGTTGGTTCGAAATTTAAACATGATCCACTTTTCTTTACAGATTGCGCAGTTAAAAGTAGAGCATTTACTGTGTCCGTAAACGATTTCTTACTTTAATCAAGTTGACCTTAGAAAATACTCTTTCAACTGACGCATTTGAGTGTGGAAAACTCAAAACACTTAACACAAATTGAGCAACATTTTTTTAGAGATAATTTTCGTCATGATCTTGCAAACTTTTTATTTGAGACTTATATTGATCTATAGAAAGGTCTTTAAATTGTTCCCCATCTTTTGTAAGTATTAAAAGTCTCCACTCATCATCAATATTCTGTAAATCATGCAAAGACAAATTTTTAGTTATACGAGTACATAGGTAGTTGCATCAAAGGAAAAATAGTATTCGGTTTGTTAGCCCACTTAGGGTTTAGAATTTCAATTTTTTGTAAGAGCACATCAGAAAAATCAAACCGTTTTTTTATTTGAATACATGCAATGATAAAAAATTGACATCTCACTAAAAACTCCATTTTATCCTCATTTGCTAGGTCATTTAGTTAAATGTTGCAATGCAATACAGATATTCCTAAATACATATTTTGAATAAGCAAAAAATGTTTAGAATCTTCCGGATTAAGTTCACTTTGGTTACATTTATATATGTAATTAGTTTCCATATATATGCTTAGTAAATCTTTGTATGTTTGAGACATTTTGTTGTATAAATCCGCTAATACAACTTTTACACTTTGGAAGTAAGCATTAAGTGCAGCAAATTTCTGTAGCACCCATTCTAAGAATAAAAAGAAGAGTTTATTTATTTTTATTAGTTAAAGCATTTAAAATTTGTTCAGACTGATTTAGCCTTTGTTCTTCGAAATGAAGACGGAAGTATAGCTCCAAAGCACACCACTGTTCAACTATATGCTTGACTACAGAACTTAAGGATAGCCACCTCGTTTGAGCAGGTCTTAAGATTTTATGGGGTTCCAGGTGATAAAATTCCTGAAACTAGAAATTCGGCCTGCCTTTTTGAACTGTGGTTAAAAAAATTAAAAACATCTCTAGCCATTCCTTCACACTCTCTCGGAAGAATTTTGCAAGCTTCAGTTGCACAAAGGTGTAAAGAATGGCAAATAAATTTTAGGGTAAAAATGCCAGGAAAGTCAGACTTCAATCTGGAAACAACTGAATTATTTACGCCAAACATCACATTGCACCCATCTGATGCAAATCCAATCAGGTTGTCAAAAGGAATGTCATTTTTTTGAAGAAATGCAATAAGATCCATATAAATATTTTTTTGCTGTAGCTCCAACATGGGCCTCTACTAAGGGATACAAAACACTATCTAAGATTAAATCTTACCTTGATGGTTATTTTTGGAAAAAACTTGTAATAGAGTCAGGAATTTGGTGTTTATGGATTTTTCCTCTTCTGAATAATACCTCACACACACTGCCATATTTTTAGTTGTTCCTACATCAGTTGATTCGTCAACTAGAAGGCTAAATTTACTGGTTTTAAGGTCCTGTACCAAATTTTCAAATTCGTTTCTTGCAATGAAATTCTTTACAATACCAGTAGCTTTTGTACGAGCTACTGACATGCTTTTTGCTATAGCCGAATCTGAGAAACATTTTTGTAATATTGGTATTAAGTGATCCCACGCCAAAAATGGAACATTGTGTTCTGCTAAAAATGCACATACTAACACCTCTGCTCTTTTTATTTTCTTTTCGAGGACAGTCTCCTTCACGAGGTCAATAATTTTTGGTTGTGTTTTGGTTGTTTTCGCTAATGCATCACAGCAAGTGGTACAGGTTGCTGCAAAACTATTTCCTAAAAAAAGGAATAATTAAAAAATGTTTGTAAGTTTTAACTTATTTTTACCTGCTATAGGTTTAAGCCATTTATACTGAGATTCCCAAGCCTGTTTTTTGCTGGGACTTTTTAAATTTTTTGGCATTGGGCTCCTGCAATTTATTACTCTTATTGTCATCATCGGTGATGTATTCGGCAGATTCGGCTCTTGTTCTCTGATGATGAATCTGAGTCTTCTTGGATAGAGGAAATCGTAGGGGTTTGAGATTCGGACATTATTACTTAAATGATGTGTTATGTGCTTGGACGATTTAATAAACACTACGGAGGACCGAGGTTACGGAGGTACAAACCATCACGACTTCTGCAAGGTGTGTAAAAGGTGTTGAACAAACACACTCAATACAAAGACTACAAACCATCTAGATTCTACATACACAAGTCACAAATACACAAAAAAACTTATTTATCTGTCATTTTTGCATTGTGATCTGTCGATTGTCATTTGTGTGATTTTGCTTTAAATGCTACCATAGAAAATACAATGCTGCCAACTGTCATTCTGATTCATTATATTTCTTTTTTTGTACAATGGCCTTTGCTCGGGACAGAGGCAGCCTTGTTTTGCTAGAGGAAAATCCTGAATAATTATCGTATAATTATCGGATATCGTATAAGAAATAATTACGATCGCATCAGACCTCGAAATTATCGTATAATACGATAATTATGGTATCATTGGCAACGCTGGTTATGTCACAGTGTTACCAGAGACAACAAAACAATAATTTAAGAAAAACCGTCTAAATTGCCTCACGTAATTAATGGATGCCCCCTAAAGCCGGGTCTACAATTGTCGCAGGTCGCAGATCGCAAAACATAAGCTTGCGCAAAGCACCCAGCTGACAAAAGAACCTTGCTTCATCGCCACGTCGCGGGGTGCTTTGCGCAAGCTTACGTTCTGCGATCGAACCCCTGCGACAATTGTAGACCCGGCTTAACTTGTTTGTTTGATAAACCACCTTTATTTTTATTTACAAAAAATTGTTTTTTCTAAAATCCTCGGTAAAAAAATAATTTAGATCATATAAAAAACAACTAAAATATAAAAAACAACTAAAGCCAACTTGCAGAAAAAAAGAAATGTTCTATTTATTTGAAACTTGAGCCTCCAATATCAGTTAAATCGATGGTTTTACAAAAAAAATGTAAGACATTTTTTGTAAAGCGTAATTTTCTACAAAAATAGGTTGCGTGGGTATTTATTAACGAGTTATAATTTTTTTATTAAAATGGGTTGGGTTGTAATATAGGGATTTTTGTTTTTAATTATTTTTAAACTGTAATTAAATAATTTAGATGATAAGTAAAAAAAGCCCAGAGGTCGTGGGTTCGAATCCCACCAGGGGTATGGCTGTTTATTTGTGTTTGTCGGTGTATTCCCTTAATTGGGCCCGTGCCTGTTGGAAGCACATTAAAACTAAAATAAAACAAAATATATTTAAGGTACTAGTGTGTTATGTTGAAAATAAGTCACCCGAGAAAGATTTATAATTCTCAAGTGACTTAGGAAACATAACACACGAGTGGAATGTTTTATCCAACAAGTGGAAGAAATCGTTTTTTTATGAGATAATAATTAATAAGCTTTGTGATCAAATCAAAGCTACTTGCGTCTCAGTACCCTATAAAAGTCAGAATGACTTGACAGTGACTTTTTTACATTTTGGTCAAAGTAGGTTGTTTGTTTGATTGCCACGGGCATGATACCTACATTGTTAGCAAATGTTTAAATAAATTTTGACACTTGTCAGTTTTCCCTGCAGAAAAAGGAAGCTTTTTTAAAGAAAAAAAAGTATAGAAAATGGTGGATACCCATGAAAATTACGTTCCTGAGGATATCCTTACGGAAGCGGAAGAAGCAGCGATGCAGATTTTGCCAGAAAAGTACCGAGATGCTTACGACAAGAAGTTCAAAATGTTTGAGTGTTGTATGAATTCACGGAAGATAAAAGGTATCGATGAAAATGTTCTATTGGCTTATTTTTTACATTTGCAAAAAAATTAGCCCCATCGTCGCTATGGACCAAATACTCGATGCTTCTCTCGACTATTCACCTTTATAAAAAAATCGACATTTCAAAATATAGCAAACTAACGAGCTTGAAAAGCAAATCACAAAGATACAAACCAAAGAAGTCCAAGACATTAGAACGACCTGAAATAGAGAAGCTTTTGAACGAAGCTCCCGACGACAAGTACCTGTTGATGAAAGTGGCTTTGATAATGGGGATTAGCAGTGCTTGTAGATGCGATGAAATAGAAAATATTCAAGGCAAAGGGAAATATTTTCACGTAGTTTTGCCAGACACTAAAACCAAGAAATTGAAAAGTTTCACCATACCTGAAGATTTCGACTCAACCCGATCAATTTGTGTAAAAAATACATGTCTTTGAGACCGAAGAATACTAGTTCTAGCCGCTTTTTTGTTTTTTACAAAAATGGGAGGTGTACCCGCCAGTGTGTGGGAATAAATGCTACTTTGAAGCGTCACGGAGGATGGAAGTCCTCGACGGTAGCAGAAGGATACCTAGAAGAATCGGTTCATAACAAAATAAAAATTGCAGAAAAAATGCAAGGTTCTAATGCCTCGGCGTCTTCCAGCTCTATCAGCAGCTGTACCGATATGGGAGTCTGGTTCCAATGACCCAACGAATTTTACAATGACTTCAAATTCGAATGAACCGTTAGCGTTTTCCTTTAATTTCAATACCAATGTGAATTCTGGTTGTAATAGTAATAAATAAACACTAGTGAGTTATGGATTATAACCAAAGACCACATAGACTGAACGATGCCTATTCCGTATCATTGAATCAAGTGAAGCCGCTTTCGCGGAGTGCGGGGAAAGGCATGCGAAAGGCGTGGCTATGTTTTCACCAGAGCTGTCTTCAGTTTATTTACGATTTATGTCTCGTAGAAGAGTTTTATTTATAATATTTTTATATGAAATAAGTGATATTTATACATTATTAATATAATAATTAAAATTAGTATTGTTAATATTTATAATGATCAGATAAATGCAAAATAATTTACACAATAATAATAAGTTAAAATATCAAACGATATATTTAAACATTTGAAATAAACAAATTTTGTTGTTCATAAATTTTTAAATAAAACCAAATAATAATAAATTAAAAATTTATTTTATTTAGGTACCTAATACATATTTTAATAATTTTAAATATTATTATTATTGTCCTTTAAACAAAAGGGCTTTATTTAAAAGTTGTCGCTTAGTAATTCTGCAATTGTTAAAAATGTTTTAATCATATTTTAAATATTTCAGAAACGGTTGAATTTAGGTACCTATATGGTATGTTATTTGAAATATGCTTAGAATTTTACAAGGAATCGAAAAATTAATACATATATAGGGTGATCCATAGATCACCCTATATATGAATTGAAAAAATATAAACTTTTTGTTTTTCCCTGTATACTGATCAATTTTCCAATTTACCTATATGGTATGTTATTTGAAATATGCTTAGAATTTTACAAGGAATCGAAAAATTAATACATATATAGGGTGATCCATAGATCACCCTATATATGAATTGAAAAAATATAAACTTTTTGTTTTTCCCTGTATACTGATCAATTTTCCAATTTTCTTATACGTAGAAAAAAGTTTTTTTAGTACCTACATAACCACACTTTTAAATTTTTTGGGACACTTAAAATAAAAAAGTTAAAGTTATAGGGGATCACCCTGTACCTCAGAGGTAAAGTGTATTAAGTAAATGGTTCAGGAGAAGTCAAAAATGTTTTAAAACTCATAATTATTTCTAGTTCTTACATTTAATAACTGATCATCATGACATTAGTTTTTAAATATTAATATCTATGATTACTTGACTAGTGGGTAACGAAGTACTAAGTAATTTTTTTTATAAATATCTCATTTTCGATAATATTGGACTACAGTTTACCTCTGAGGTACAGATTTGCAAAACCCATTTACCTAAATGAATTTAATTTTCAAAGTCAATAAAGAAAAAAAAATATATTGAAATTTTAAATGTCTTTCAAACTAATAATATCGAGTTAATAAATTTTTATAGTTATTTTTAATAAAGATCTTTGGAAAAATAAATTTATTTACAAAAACAATGAATCAATTTATTTATAAAAACAATGAAACTACAATTGATAATGAATATTTTTAGTGAATGAAAACTTAAAACTTTAATATTACACGAAATGTTTAATATATTTAGTATTTATATTCCTTGGCGAATTTTAAATATACCTAAATGGCATAAAAAACATGAAATACAACAAACAATGGTAAACATGCAAAAAAAGACCTCTCTCCGAAATTAATTGGGCTCGAAATTTACTAATTCAACTGTGATTTTCCTCGACGCGAGCCAATTTAATAGTGAAGGAGAGCGCAATTTCTGCAATTTTATATATTTAATTTCTACTTACATAAAGAAATTAACATTTTTTTCGTTGTATTTGGTCTCAGTTCTATTTTCACATCCTATCACTACACATTTACCCATGTTTTTAAAATAAATCGCGTACGCTGGGCCTCTATAGGCCTGTACCCGGCTTCAACTGCATCGCCCTTACGTTCAGTCTATGTGGTCTGTGATTATAACACACTAGGGTGTTATTTAATAGTTTACTTGTCTAAAATTACATTAATAATGACAGTCATAACTGTCATGTGTTGGATAAATAAAATTATAAATGTCCCAGGAATGTCTCATTACTTTCCTGATAAGTTATCAGTGATAATAGCCCCGTATGTCCTAGGGATAACCAAAACTGTTTTTTTCTTCTTTTAGAAGTCTGTCGACGTCCTACAGACGGCACTCGTTCAATTATTGAACGAGTGCCGTCTGTGGGACGTTGAACTTCAATATGGGACTTTCTCAGTACGTCCGGCTTATCCGACGTGGATACCCTACGTACGTCCTCACTGAGGACTCCTCAGAACATACTTTCAATATCTAGGGAGGAGTCACGGTGACATTAGCGCCTCTAGCAAGCGTAGTTTTCAACCTTGCATCAGACAAACTTTGTAAAGTAAAGATGCCAGATCATGAAAATATGAATAGAAAAAAAAATCTTTCAGTATGACCTCAAACTATGACGCCGATGATCTTGCGAAACGGGTTTGATATTTAAACCATGGAGGCTCCATGATTCAAACTTTGAATGTATCAATCATGGTTTTACTAACTTGACTTCATATACAAGGGATAGGTTGGGTAGGTGGGGGGAGGTAGTCGAAAAGAGATATTTAAATTAGTTTAATTTTTTTTACTACCAAAACGAGATACATTTTTACATATTTTCAACGGCGATTTCAACAAAATCAGCCTTAGGAAATCGAGTGTAAACTTTCGTGCTACCTAGTTATTTAATAGTGGTTTCCAGACATTCCCTATATCCACTGAAGGCTTACTAAAGCAATCGGGGTTTTGGTGCATGACCGCTGCTCCCTTGAACTTCCTCTTCCTTTCTTGTGCAAAATTTTGTATCGAAACGTCTTGATTAAAAATACTACGGCAATGAAAGTCCAAAACCTTTCATTCTCTCAACAAACATCATTGTCTACAACCTTCAAAAAAACAAAATATAAATAAACTTTTATTTATTTCAGGTGGTGATGACCGTAGAGTTCTTTTGTGGTCAGTTCCAGAAATAATACATGATCGAGGTGCCCCTGTGATAATGCGGGAGCATCATATCAGTAATATTTTTTGCGTGTCTTTCGATTCCAGAAATTCAAAAATATTTTCTGGGGGAAATGATGACCAGGTTATTCTGCACGACATTCACACGTAATATTTTAACATTTATTTATTAAATGAAATATATAAAAGTTATTTTAGATGTAATTTGATTACCAAACTTCCGCATAGAAAACCAGTATATGGATTAAGTATAAACCCTCAAAATGATGATGTTTTGGCAACTGCTGGTGATGATGGCAGGATATTAATTTTTGATGTCAGAGAAACTTCAGGTATGTAATATACAAGGTTTACCAAAAATGGCGCACTATTTTAACTATACATTTTTTCCACAAGCAGTTTTTAAGTTATTCAGCATTTTCGTTTAAAAACTCGGCAACACTGGGTTCTTAATGTGCTGAATAACACATATAAAAAGGGTTGTTAGAAATAGAATATACAAGGTATCTACCAGTTTGAGTCAAAAATCAAAACTTAAAAATCATAATAACTTTGTAATTAGAACACATTTTAACTTATTAGAAAATTGTTTTAAATCCTTTTATACACCATGGGACACGTCCCAAGCAACAATTTAAGTATTTGTTACGTATATGGGACTATTGAAGAAACTTTAAAGTGTTTTGCGACAGTCGCCGGTCTCTCTATATTACTCTTTTATTACTAAGTTACGACTAAAGTGGGGAACAATTATTGAGTTCCAAAAAGGTAGCAAATATGTCACTAGCTATAAACCCTGCTACTATTTTGAACGTAGCTGCTACGTTACTAGAACGTTCCAATATCGTTGCTAGAGCGTTATAATTACTTTTATTTATTTGTTTTTACTTCTATATGAACTGTCTTTGTCAAACTTATATTAGATTATACTATCCCTCCTTTTTTAAGTGGAACCACTACGGACTTGGCTTTTCAATGTCGTCGTTTATTAAATATGTACTGGTAGTTTATAACTTTCAGAATAACAATATAATGTTTAATTAGGCAGGTACCCAAGCAACAATTTAAGTATTTGTTACGTATATGGGACTATTGAAGAAACTTCAAAGTGTTTTGCGACAGTCGCCGCACACTGGGAGGAATTACAAAAATCGCGGACAAAACCCTATTTTGTAAAAATAAACATAGTAAATTTTAAATTACGAGTTATAAAAAAAGAAAGCACAGAGATTATGATTTTAAAAGAAATATATTTTTTTATGATAAAATGCCCGCTTAAACTTGCTTAAAAAGTCACATTGTTCGTATCGGTTTTTTAGAGCAAATTGGATGTAAGTTTTTTAAGCCCATTTTTGTTTTGCGTAATTAATGAAAGGAAATGATGGTATATTTTACTACATTCCTTATCCTTGTTCTTTCATATAAAAGTCTAAAATTGCAAATTTTACCATAAATACGGTTTTTATAAACCTTTTACCCTCGCCTTTAAAAGTAGATAAATCTTTTACAAACCACAAGATATTTCGTTAGGTGTGCCTTGGTGTGAGGCAAAGTATTTGGTACCAGAACGTTCATCAAATTTTCTTTTTTTAAAGTCAAAAGAATTAAGCTGCCTTTTTTGCCTGTTTGGTCAGCAGAATATGAAATATGTCCATGAATTTATCATATTAGTCGAATATTTATAAGTCATCATAGTTGCCTTTTGCTAGTTCTAAAACGTCAGTTTCCAGTAAAAGTCATTCATACATACAATCTCATCGTGTTTTTGTGTTTATTAACGCTTTATAATAATATTTGGTAAGTTATAATATTAATATTAATATAAATATTACATGTTTATTTGAATAACTTGCTTCTTTTTATGTAGAAATGCCATCAACGACTAATAAGGAGTTGTATGAACTTATTAAAAATGTTAGTAACAAAGAAAAACACAACAAACTTTTAAAGTATCTAACCGAAAACCTGGATATTATTGATAAATCTTATATTGTCCCCTGAATTCAAAAATATCGTCAAAAGTTAAAAAAGTAAAACAGTTTTTGAGATGAAGTCAATTTTTCATTTAATATGGAATTGACTATATTTCAAAAACTGCTTCACTTTCATATTTTTTTATGGCATTTTCGGATTCAGGGGACAATTTTACATAAGAATTGGATGTTAAATTTTGGGATACCATTATATTCCATGGTTAACTATGGTACAAGTAAAAAAGCAGCCAATAATAACTATTAAATTAGTCATTTTTGACTAATTCATTTTTAGAGAGTAGGTGAAAAACGTGGATTTAACCGGTTTTGCTTTAAAGTCAACTTTTAAATGTTATTTTAACATCGATATAGGGTTTTTTGGACCAAGTCATGCGAAATTTACAAAGAAAAGATGTATCGAAAAAAATGTATATAAGTGATTTAGCTCGAATATTCCTTAATTGTTATTGTTTTTTTTGTTTATTTTTCTATTTTTAGCTTAGGTAATATTGCGTAATATATTTGTTTATTAATTTATGTTTTTGGAAAATGGAGGATCGACAATACCGAACTTTTTCAAATTGTTTAAAACAAATTTGTGAATTTGTGTACATAATTAAAATATTTTATTAATATTAATATTTTAGCATAAATTTACCACCGCATAAACCTTAAAATGGCTTAAAATAATGTGTCCCTAATTTTGTCCGCGATTTTTGAAATTCCTCCCACTGTGCGCCGGTCTCTTTATATTACTCTTTCATTACTACGTTACGACTAAAGTGGGGAACAATTATTGAGTTCCAAAAAGGTAGCAAATATGTCACTAGCTATAAACCCTGCTACTATTTGGGACGTAGCTGCTACGTTACTAGAACGTTCCAATATCGTTGCTAGAGCGTTATAATTACTTTTATTATTTGTTTTTACTTCTATATTAACTGTCTTTGTCAAACTTATATTAGATTATACTATCCCTCCTTTTTTAAATGGAACCACTACAGACTTGGCTTTTCAATGTCGTCGTTTATTAAATATGTACTGGTAGTTTATAACTTCCAGAATAACAATATAATGTTTAATTGAACAGGTAGATTGATAAACCCTTTAAATTTTACTGTTGAACTTATGAATTTAGTTTTTGTAAAATAAATGCGCTTCATCAATATTTAAGTATAAACAAATTATTTATTTAGTAATGTTTATAAATAAAAAAATATTAATATTTATTATTATTTTTTTTTATTTAATTATTAATACCGTCTATTACCAACAATATTTCTATTTATTAAAAAGTAAACAACCATTTACAAACAATTAAAATAATTTATTATTTACATTACCACGTGGTACTGTACAGTAAAAAATGGCCGATAAGAAGCATTTTCCTTTGAAGTAGTTTTCGCTACATTAAAGTTTTTTCCACTTTACGGTTGTTTTGGTTAGTACCATAAACGTTCCAAATACTAAAATAATAACTTTTAAGTTATTAACTTTGTAGTTTTTAACTCATGTTCCAGTTTCGAGATTTTAACTTGCAAAGGGACTACAAAGTAAAAATAATTATAATGTAATATTTAGGTAGCAACCGAAAGTAACTGCTACAAATTAAATTTACTTGAAAGTTTTTTTTACTTATAACACCTTTTTTAAAGTTGCAAAGTCTTCTTGGGGGCAACCAAGTTTTACTTAAATGTTTATTACTTTATAGTAACAATTGAAGGAAAAATTAAGTTTCTGTTACAAAATATTGCTATTTAAAAGTTAGAATTACTTTTAAGTAAAAATTAAAGTAGCTGTTTAGTATACTTAACTAATTTAAAGTTATCACCACTTTGGCAATGGTTTTTGGAACCAAAAATGCTGCTTGGGTAAATTTATAAACCCTTTAAATTTTACTGTTGAACTTTTGAATTTAGTTTTTGTAAAATAAATGCGCTTTATCAATATTTAAGTATAAACAAATTATTTATTTAGTAAAGTTTATAAATAAAAAAATCTTAATATTTATTATTAATTTTTTTATTTAATTATTAATACCGTCTATTACCAACAAAATTACTATTTATTAAAAAATAAACAACCACTTACAAACAATTAAAATAATTTATTATTTACATTACCACGTGGTACTGTACAGTAAAAAATGGCCGATAAGAAGCATTTTCCTTTGAAGTAGTTTTCGCTACTTTAACGTTTTTTCCACTTTACGGTTGTTTTGGTTAGTACCATAAACGTTCCAAATACTAAAATAATAACTTTTAAGTTATTAACTTTGTAGTTTTTAACTCATGTTCCAGTTTCGAGATTTTAACTTGCAAAGGGACTACAAAGTAAAAATAATTATAATGTAATCTTTAGGTAGCAACCGAAAGTAACTGCTACAAATTAAATTTACTTGAAAGTTTTTTTTACTTATAACACCTTTTTTAAAGTTGCAAAGTCTTCTTGGGGGCAACCAAGTTTTACTTAAATGTTTATTACTTTATAGTAACCATTTAAGGAAAAATTAAGTTTCTGTTACAAAATATTGCTATTTAATAGTTAGAATTACTTTTAAGTAAAAATTAAAGTAGCTGTTTAGTATACTTAACTTATTTAAAGTTATCACCACTTTGGCAATGGTTTTTGGAACCAAAAATGCTGCTTGGGGTGTCCCAGAATTCATTGTACCTACACAGCAAAACCACATATTGCTTTTGTGAAAATATTACGATTTAATTAAATTCACCAGGTTCAAAAGTTAATAATAACAAAGATACGGGGTTTCAAAATTAAAAGTTTGATTTCGATTTTATTAAATAACTTGGAAAAAATAAACTTTTTTGGAAAAAATTGACTAGGTATTTGGGTTGGGGACGAAACATTTAAATTCCCGAAAAAAATTGATGTAGATAGTAGATGGCGCTGTCGGAACTGTGCTCAAGCCAGGCGCGGATCAAATGGGCTCAATTGCCCTCCCCCTTGAGCCCTTGAATCTTTTTTTTTTAATTATTCCTTTATTTGTTTATTGTACTTTTTTGTACTTAATTAGATTCAACAACTTTTTGTACTTCTAAATCTAATTCATTGAACCTTTTTATTGAAATTAAAATAATAAGTATTCATGTAATTTTATTGTTTTGGATATTTTATTATTAATTTTGAAGATACTAAAGAAAATTACGTAAACACTCATGTTTCTAAAATGTTTGTAATTCTTCTTTTTGGACCATATTTTTATTATGTAGGTACTTGCAAGTGCAAGTGCACACCCTTAGGGAGCTTCTAAATCCGCCCCTGGCTCAAGCCCGCCTGTGCTTCTTAAAAAATCCTAATAACACCTTAATATAAGGTGACCAACTTTCTAAAATGAAAAA